AAGGCGGAAAGACACCAGCCTGGAACAGAAACCACGTTCTCCTTTACTCCCTTCACTTGATTGTCACCTCAAATGGCAATGAAATTTTATCGTTGGCTTTTTCTTTGCTTTCTCTTGAATTTGTTTTTAATCTTTGTACGTTACTTCTTGGATTGAATGCTTCTAATGCCTGGAGCTGCCCTGTTTTTTCACACTGGGGGCAAAAAGCATGCCACTTTTTCACTGTGGTGTTTTCAAAATGCTCACATTCAAAGTAAAAGCCAGGTTAAATGAACACTCATGACTGCAAGTTTCTAAGCAGCTAAGGAACTTAGAAGAAAACAGTTGTACGTAACTTATAAAGGAAGCTGGGTCCATTCTGTGAACACAGAAAATGATCAATGCCCCCAACCCCATCTTGAGACCTGAATCACACAGACTGAACATTGTTGTTGGTTTAACAAGATAACTGGTCAAAACAGTGGCTACAGAGTAGCAAATAAAGAGGTTTTGTTGTCGCTTTTTGGGCATAGAGGTACTTTCTGACCTGAGTATCCAGTGTAGACGCGTTCCTTAAATTCTCTGGCTGATGGTGACAGCCCTCTTTCCTACGTGAGGACACCTAAGCTGGGGTGATAAAGCCTTATTCCCACACCCACTGGAACCTGTTTACAACTTAATGACCTTCAGCTGCACTCAACGCAAGGTTACCCCAACCCCACCCCAAACAGGCCCCAGGCCTGCTCTTGTTTTTCCAATTCCCTTCTCTCTGGAAGGCCCTGAAAGAAGCCACTGAAAGGACAAGTCATGTTAAGCCATGTTTTCCTCTTATCCTGAAGGAAAAAAAAAGTAACGTGAAAACATCCACTCAGCCTACATTCACTTCCCTGCATTTTCTTCCTCATATTGATTGTACCTTGACATCAAAGCTGAAACACGACAAAACAACCAACCAAAACAAACCAAAACTACCCAACAGGAGATGGAGACAGAGCCCGTTTTTCCACCCTAAACTCTGAGCCAAAACAGCGGGGACTTACCAGAGTCCCTCCTCCTCCCTGGGAACTAGGTGACGGATGGACGCTAAGGTTTCCTCAAAGACTCCAGTTCCTGGAAAGTCTGAAGGTCAAGATTTATGCTCTCAAGGTAACCCCACGGGAAGGAAAGACTTCCTTAGCTCAGGGCCAGTGACAATATATTTTCTCTTTGTAAATACCACCCATTGGACCTAAGAGTTGTTGAGAAAGGCCTCTGCCCTTGGATGAATTTTAAACATACTGACAAAGCTCACCGGAAACCGCTGGCTCCGTGGGTCTTTTTGAAAATGTTCTCCCATTCTCTCTCCCTCCCTCCCTCTCTCTCTCACACACACACATTATTAAGTTGAACAATTTCTCCTGAGGCCAAACGCCAAATACCCTTAGACGGAGGCCCTGGAGAAGGATCACTTCAGTCACAAAGAAAAGCAAGACGGAACGACGTCCTTATCGCAGAACAAGTGCCGACAAAACGAGGACTGTCACCGAGGGTTCCCTGTCTCCACAGGGCGGGCCCTGGCTGCGGGGGACTTACCTCCGTCTCCCTCCGGGGAGCTTCCTCCGCACGCACCGCGTCCCCCTGCAGCCCGCTCTCCTCGCAGCACGAGAGTCTCGCGCTTCCTCGCGCGAGCGCCTCGAGCGCGCCGCCTTCGGCTCCCGAGTGTAAGGCGGGAGGGGCAACAGCAGCGCTGGGGCTTCTGGGTGGGGCGGAGCAAGCGCCCCGCACCTGGGCGGCCTGCGGTTACTGGAGTCACCTGCGGACCCTGCTAAGCCGCGCTCGTCTGAAGCCCGGCGCAGGTGATTCTGAAGGCAGAGTTGTAGAAATTTTCTTGCATCGAAGGACCATGATGGGGGGGAGGGGTCAGAAGAGCTTGCTGAAATGCAGATTCGGACTCAGTAGGTCGAGGGTGAGTCTAAACCCCACCTGGGCTTCTAACAAGCCCCATGATGTGGACGCTCCTGGTCCACAGACCACACAGTGCGGTGGGAAGTCTCGCTGTTCAACGCGGGATGCCCAGGCCGGCATCACTGACATCCTCTGCGAGCCTACTAGAGATGCAGGCTTCCAGGTCCCATCCCAGACCTGCTGCACTGGAATCTGCATTTCATCAAGATTCTCAGGTGATTCGCACATGTTAATTTGAGAAGATGGCACTGGAGAACTTTAGGATCAAATTCACAATGAAGTTGTTTTCTGTATAAAGGTCGGAGAAGGCAAAAAAATATATAAACCAAATTAAAAAACCCACATATTTTTTATTTTATACCATTTGAAACCCAGATTAAGGGAAGGCTTGTATTAGCAGGGACAGAGTAACATACTTGGAAACCAACTTCTTACACCCCACCTCCCTCCCCACCACAGGAAGCCACAGAGTTCAACTTGAGCTCTGCAGCCCTGAATGTGAAGGGATATCACATGCTCTAACCTCTCCCTGTTCTCATTACTTCTGTATGGTGATTAGGTCAACCAAGTTGAGGACCAATGGATTTTACTGCCCTTCTGGAGACAGGTGGTTTAAATCATAAAGGTGAACCGGTAAAGCCCAGCACCTCCAGTCAGAAGGCGGAACAGACCCACAATGTTAGACCCCTCTGCTCCCTGGGAAGATTCGAGCTGTGTTCCAGGTGGGACGCTCCATGGGGCAACGTCACCACTTCTGTACACTCAGTACCTAGCAAACACATGATCAGGATGATGTAAGCAATGTTGGCTGAAGATGTTTATTCCAAGAGTCAAAGCAGTAAGAGTGCAAGAGTGCAAGAATGAAAGCCAAAAGAAGGCAATCAGCTATCCAGGTTTCTAGAAACCACAAAGGAAGGGGAAAACAGCCAAGAGACAGGGAGAGGGAAAGAGAGAAAGGAAGGATGGAAGGAAGAGAAGGAGGGAGGTAGGGGAACAAAATTCTAAGTACTCAATCAGGCTCTAACAGAACCTGCAATCATGGGGAGCCCCCAAGAGCATTTGGAATCAGTGAGGTCCTATGGACAAGCCCCTTATTTCCAGCCCAGAAGCCCCTGGGCTTCCATCAGGGGAAACGCTTGCTACAGACAACTGCCTGCAGTTGTTGATCAATAGATCAAGGAACAGTCAAAGGAGACAGGGAACACCTAGGGACAGGCAGGCTCTGGCATTAATGAATGTGGACAGGGCCAATGCAAACACTGTGTTCAATCAGCATTTTTGTGGACCGAGCAATTTCTGAAAACTATTTTCAAGTCATAGAACATGCCAGGAGCATCTGGCTCCATCTGTGGAAATACTTCCTCCTGCTCCTCGACCTGGCCCACTTGAACTCAGTTTTCTTCCTTTCATCATTCCGATCTTAATACCCTTAATATTGGCCTGAGTTAGGGCTTTACATTTGATGAACAACAGTGGGCTCTTAGTTGAGCTCCTACTGTGTGCCAGGCACTTCATGTGTCTTATTTAATCCTCACAACCATTTCTTGTTTACAAACAAAATATCTGAAGCCCAGAGAGGTGAGGAAACCTGCCCAAGGTCACAGAGCTGGTAAGTGAAGTTTGTAGAATTCCATCCTACATCTGTCCAAAGTCCATGCTCCTCTGTCCTTTGCAGCTTTTACTCCGACTTTGATACTGTCTTTCCAGCCACAAAGTTCTGCGTAGCCCTTACTTTTCAGAACCAGTTAGGAATCAGTACCTGCAGCTTTCATTCTGACCTCATTAGTCAGAAGTCTTATCTCTTCACTGGGGTCCTCCCCTGTTGCAGGTACCCCACTCCCCTCTGTCGAACACACACATCTGACAGCCAAGGCTTCAGTGCTTTTTCATATAGATTTTCTCTTGAAGGTTTTGAATGGATTTGCATTCCAAAATATAAACACTGGAGCTTAGGAATTAAAGTCAAGCCCTTTGCCAATGTTCTTTTATGTTCAGAAAAATCAAAAGCAAGTCCCAAAGGATGGCCACAAGCATCTTTTATAAAAGATACTCTACACTGGTCAACTTTGTTAAGCACCAGACTTTCTCTGTCCTGTCATAGGTGTCTATTGGAAATTCCAATACTCTTGAGCCATTTTGCCAAAGCAATAACTAATAGTATATTTATTCAGGGATGATTCACTCTGTTGCAATGTAAAGACGCAAACTCTTAACACAGAGAACGCTGGGTAAGAAGAGCAGGTACCTTTGCAGAGGATGCCATTTAGATAGAAGCCCCTTGTGCAATAGTGCTTTTTTACATTACGCAGTCACAAAAGAGGAAAGTTTTTTGACTGAATGCCAACTAGGGGATAACTTGCCAAGCCAAACATTAAGAATCCACTGCCAGTATTTCCAGATAATTCTTCTTGGGAAAAGGAGAGAGTCTTCCTGTGATGAATGAATATTTTGACTTGATGATAAATCACAATTGTACTGGAAGACCTGCCTGCATGTTTCCTCCCACAGAATCTTGTAATGGCTGCCTCGATGCCACGAGCTACAAAAGGGCCCCCACCCAAATTGTTTTCACTGACAACAGACCAGGAAAGTGAACCAAATCTCCAGATACGACATCCATAATAACAGCTCCTCCTAAAAAGAAACCTGCCTTCTTCTCTTTGTCCTTTAGTGTTGAGAAAAAGGCAGACCTTTCCCCCAAAGTTTGTAGTTTGAAAATAAAGCCACTCCTTCATTCACTGAGCCCCTCATGATATTTTAGGGGATCTTTTTAAACTTAACTTCCTGACAGTAAGTCCCTCTGAAAGAAAAGTTGACTAAGTTCATTGATTCTCTTTTGGCGAGCTCAAAACTCCTGAATCTGGACAAATTAAACACCGTAAAGATTTCCTATGCCAATTCAGAGGAGGACATTCCCTGAAAGTTCAGAAAGCTTTTCTTATACCACAAGACAAAGCAGTGAGAGGAAGGCAGGCAGGCAGGACAGGGGGGAGGGAAGGAGGGAGGGTTGGTGAGAGAGAGGAGATAAGTCATGTAAAATACATATTTCCAAAACCAAAAGGACAAAACAATTCAACTAACATATAGTAACCTTTATTCCATAACAGAGACATAAATAATTTTATGAATTCATATGACCTGTACAAAAGACAAAATAAGATATTGCACTAAGTTTCAATATGGGATATCTGGATTTAATATTAGCTTAACAGATAAATATATACAATTTAAGGAGTTAAGGCAAAACCAGATGATACTTCAAACACAATAGAAGGTTTGAAAAATAGGTATAATTAAAAACAAGGGTATCCCATCTCCAGTTAATGAAGTGGTCATGTCTAAGGAAAAAAAATCCCTTAGGTTTTTAATAAAGTGGTTATTATCAATCATGTTAATTAAAGTGAGCAATAAAGTATAAGGTTTCCCGTGGAGCAGAGCTGTTTGGCAGAGGTTTGAGGACTGAGCACTTAGAATTCGGGAAAGCAACTTTCTCCTTGTTAGATTTATGATCTATTCTTCCTATTAGAAAATATAATTTGGAAAATATGACTCTTTCACATATATAATTAAAATACAACTATGAAGCATTCTTTTGTTGTTGTTTTTCAAGGGAAGTCATGTTGGTGATCTCAGAGAGTAAGTTTGCGGGCAAGCCATTACCCTATTTGTAGAGAAGACACAAAAGCCAGTGGTTACCTCAAGAGAACGAAACAGACTAATTCCAAAGGGGAAAAAAAAGCAAGTGTAACCAGCATATCAACACAACACACGACTCTTTGGCAGTATCACACTAATCGTTGCTGAAGTCGGAACTTGGGAGTTCTCTAATTCTTAGACCTGGTTGCCAGTCTTTAAAAACTAAATAAATAAAGTGGCACATCTGCAATGAATTCAGTAATTCCAGGGAATTAAATTCAGAGTGAACGAGTGAACCTTGCAGACAGCTTTTAATTGTTACACTTAAGCATAGATAGTTTTCGACTGTTGTGAGTCCGGATCCAAATATACTGAAATGCACACACACACAAAAATCATCTGCGCAGCTTGGTACTGGTTCAGACAAGGCCTAGAATTCTTAAAGAGAATCCATATTCACCCATGAGAAACCAATAAAAGACATCAATCCGACGATGAGGAAGTGATCTTCCAGGAACTCAGGGGTGGGCCGCCCCTCACCTGGATGAACATCACGGAGAAATCAAATTCTATAGGGGGAACACCAGAAAGCCGGAAAACGTGGAATACTGCCAGCCTCCGACCAAGTTACCTTTCTCCAGTTTCAGGTAAACCTTATCCTCTCTATCGAGGTACAGCAGGACCCCATTGGTGGCAGCTTCACGAGTAACGTCTTTATCCCCAGCGAAGGCAGATATTACCGGTTTTCCGTTTAACATCAGGTTAACCTACAGGGGAAAAAAAAAAAACAAACACTGAGAAGTGCTCGCTAAAGTCCAAACACACAAATGAATAAAACAAACCAGAAACTCACAGTTAGAACAAACTAGGGTGACCAGCGGGGAGGGGGAAGCTGGCGGGAGGGGACTAAGAGATACAAACGATTCTGTGTCAAATATATAAGCTACAAGGATCTATTGTTCAGCACAGGGTAATACAGCCATTATTTTCTAAAAACTGTAAATGGAATATAAGCTATAAAAATATTGAATCACTATGTTGTGCACCTGAAACCAATATAATATTGTTAATCAGCTATAAAGTCAAAACATCTACAAGGGGAGGAGTAGGGGCAACAATGTTTCAGATAACCAACCTGGTAATATAGCTGATGTTCAGTAAACACATCCCCTTCCTTTCAAATTAGCCAAGGGCAGTGGCTAGACTTAGTGTGATCTTACTGAGCTGATCTTTTTTTTTTTCTCTCTTTCCAATATA